CGTCGGCATTTCTGGCAACGAAACAGCAGACAAACTTGCAAACGAAGCTTCACTTCACCAGARTACTCCAAAACTAAACCTAACCACATCCTCAGAGTCACTCAATATCATTAACCTCAAAATATTAGAGACATGGCAGAAAAACTGGTCCAACGTTCCCCTATCAAAGAATCATCAAGCCTCTCATCAAAAAATGGAAATTTTCCGGTAGCCTTAATCGAAGAGACGAAGTCATCGTTACCTGAGCCAGAATAGGCCACACCCACCTCACCCACTCATTCCTCATCACTAAGGAACCTGCTCCAGTATGCACCATATGCAACGTGACTTTATCGATCGAACACATCGTAACAAGATGCCCAAAATACTCCCTAGCTCGGAAAATCTTCAAGATTCCATCATCCCTTCAACTCAGTGAAGAAAACACCGAAGCTATCTACAAATATTTTCATCATATCCATCTTGCACATAAATTGTAAAATTGTAAATATCTGTATATATTTTATTATCTTGTACACTAATGTTATAACTTTAGGCTAATAACCTTTTGATGTTGAAGCCTTTACCTCAAAAAAAAAAAAAAAAAAAAAAAAAAAAGAATATTAATGTTTGCTACAAGAGAACATTTGGACATACTTCATACATTTAAAAATCGGATGGCAGATGGAACATTTCGAGCAGTTCCGAAATTAATAAATTATTTTCTCAATTGTATACAATACATGGTTATAAAAATAGAATAACAGTACGTGTTTGACCACCGTCCCAAGCACTCGTGTGTTCCGTATTTCTTAGCTCCCGATAGCAATACCAGTATATACATGCACACAATAATTAACAGCGAAATAAGTATGTAATCTTATCTTACCCGTAATCGCAACGCTTAATTACACCGGTCGTCGGTACACCGCGGCCAATTAAACCAATCGTCTATGGATATTTTATCCAACATGAATAACCAAGAACTATCTCAACTGTCATCACTATCAAAAACAAACAACACAAAAACTTTTGCCGAAACAACATTTCCCAAAAAAGAACAAGTCATTTTACTAAACACGATAAATGAAATACCGCAAATTGAATATKTTAAAGCATTTAGCAAAATAACACCTCCTAAAAACATCATCTTTGCTTCCCGTATATCAAACAACAGATTTTGCATATATTTTAGAGACAAATCTAATGTCGACGAACTGATACAAAACTATTCGTATATATCTGTTAATGAAAATCAAATTCCATTTCGTCGTTTAGTAAACCCAGCCAAGAGATTTATAATTTCTAATGCCCACCCGATAATACCTCATGAAGTAAAAAATAACATTTCTTAAAGCTGGTTTCCAAGATGAGCTCGCACACATCAGTAGTTTTAGGAGACAGGTATATATTCACCCTGATGACATACCAAATGTACCTGGATTGCTAATAATCAAATATGACAACACAGATTTCAGAATTTTCCTAACTGACGATATTCTCACTTGCTACGCATGTAAGCAGAGTGGCCACACATCTAATCACTGCAAAAAAGAACCAAATACCATGACCATTAA